ATGCCCTACTTTGCTTCCGCACGGGGGCCTGTGACAGTAACTGACTCAATACTCTTGGATTCAAACCAAGATAGCTAACATGCAAGCCTAAATGGTGATCAATCATTCAAATTAGCATATTAACTTATAAGCATAATGAATAAGAACAAAAATCATAATTGAAACTTGGAAACTAATCAAACTTGAGACTAAAGAAAAGAATTTACATAATGAAAAGTAAAGTGGAACTAAGAAAAACTTAAGGAAAATTTCAGCACAAATATTTCATTATAACAATTGAAGGCTAGAAAGAGAAACTAAGAGAATTTGAGGGAGTGAAGGGAAGGGAGCTCTAGAGAAGTGTTTGATTAGTTTCCAAGTTTCAATTATGGTTTTTGTTCTTATTCATTATGCTTATAAGTTGATATGCTAGTTTGAATGATTGATCACCATTTAGGCTTGCATGTTAGCTATCTTGGTTTGAATTGAGAGTATACACCATGCTTTAATTCGAATTGAACTATGAATAGGCAGAGTATGTATGGACATTCGACAACAGGGATTAGATACATGCTTGGTTGTTTAAAATGTTCTTCTATGCTTAATGGGTTGCTAATGCTTAATTTTAGGTTAGACAACAAATGATCAAATTAGGGAATTAGGAACACAAGGTTATGACCACACACCATGGCTTAATCATACATTAGCTAGAATCAATCCGTTAATCTAATTGAACTTGGGAACTTATCTGCTTGAGTTAGTTATTTTCTTTCTTCCTTGTTTTATGTTCTTTCTTTTTCATTTCTGTTTTGTGTAGGGAAACTAAATTGGATCATTCAATCACCAATCCTTGTGGAATCGACTTCGCACTTACATATGCTATACTACCAACGGTTCGTGCACTTGCGAGTGTCACAAGTTGAGGATGCAACTGAATCCATTTTGGTGCAGCTGTATCTACACAACACTTATAAGTTAACATGCTTGTTTGAATGATTGATCACCATTAGAACTTGTTTGTTAACTATCTTGGTTTGAATTAAGAGTATACACCATGCTTTAATTCGAATTGAACTATGAATAGGAAGAGTATGTATGGACATTCGACAACAGGGATTAGATACATGCTTGGTTGTTTAAATTGTTCTTCTATGCTTAATGGGTTCCTAATGCTTAATTTTAGGTTAGACAACAAATGATCAAATTAGGGAATTAGGAACACAAGGTTATGACCACACACCATGGCTTAATCATACTTTAGCTAGAATCAATCCATTAATCTAAATTGAACTTGGGAACTTATTTGCTTGAGTTACTTTCTTATTTTCTTCCTTCTTTCATGTTCTTTTTCATTTCTGTTTTGTGTAGGAAAAATGGATTGGATCATTCAATCACCAATCCTCGTGGGATCGACCTCGCACTTACATACGCTATACTACCGAACGGCTCGTGCACTTGCGAGTATCACAAGTTAAGGATGCAGCTTAATCCATTTTGGTGCAGCTGAATCTACACAACAAGGTGTATGGCTCAGATGCTATCACATTTTGTTGGACTTATAGGTCCAGATTCATGCCAAGTGTACAGCTCATAGGCTGGTATGATTGTGTATTGGCTAAGTCATTTTTGTATTGGTTGAAAGATATATATATTGATACTGGAATGAGATCATACAGAGTGTGTGTGCATGATTACAATCATTGCTTAACAGATTCTCTCTCTCTCTCTCTCTCAACGTCTCTCTCTTTTCTCTCTGAAACATTCTCTCATAAACTTTATGTGCAAGCAAACCTTCTACTCTATAAAAACTCCAACAGATTCATGGTCTACCTTTGATTTCTTATCTACAAACCATAAACCCAACTCAAAACTCTTCAAGCCCTGACCAGTTTGGCAAGCCTCTTCATCAAAGATGCTGCTTGTCCTCTTTTCACTGCTGGGCAAGCTGCACATCCACTTCCCATTATTCTTGCCTTTGATTTGACTTAGGCCAGAAGGGCTTTCTTTCTGATCCTCCTTTTCATTTGAGTAAGAGATTTTGAGGCAAGTCTCAGTAAGTTGCAGAAGGGCTTCTTCTTGATTGACCACTTTTGACCAAATTTCAATCTCCTTAGCAGTCATTTTATCTTGCAAACACTTGCTCTGCCGCACAAGCCTTTTCATCCTATCTGAATTAGGAGCCATGTGCTTGATCACAGCAGCCAAGGCACTCACTTTCCAATCCTTTTTAAGATCATGAGGCTTCCTATAAGGAGGAGCACCATGATCTATAGAAACCCCTTTGTCATCCCACCAAAGCTCCTCCCCTGTAGGCCACCATGGAGGAGCCAAGCCCTTCTCCAATGGGAACCTCCTCTGTGCAGGCACATAGTGCTGCTGTTGAAATGTAAGTAGTGAACTGATAGAAAATGTAATTAAGCCTATTTAGCTAATGGTGTATTCACTTAGTCACTAAAAATGACAAGTGTTAGGCTTTAGTAGTGAAAGGCTGTACAAGCCACGTGTAACGTTTTTAGATAACAGTTTTAGATGAAGGGCTGTGATACAAAGTGATGTAAGAGTATCCAACTATTTTCTCTAACGGTCATATAGCTCACACAGAGCTTGCTCAATTTATCAGAGCAAGGAAATGAAAAACTTCCTCACGATTTGATTCTCCCTGTATTTTTTGCTTTCTTCATTTGTTCCTCACAAAACTCTAACATGGCCTCAGAGCCAGGTTCGATCATTTAGATTTGGGCGTAATCTGTGAGGTCACTGAACTCAATTGAAGCTCTGTGAAGGTTGCCGAAGTTTCGTTAGCATCTGAGAAGAGAAATCGATTTATTTAGACCAAAGATGTTTGGATCTGGAGGCTCGGAGGTGAGAACTCCAATTTTCTCCGGTGAGAACTACGAGTTCTGGAGGATTAAGATGGTAACAATCTTCAAATCTCTTGGGTTATGGAATTTGGTAGAAAAGGGGATCCCAACCCCTGATTCGAAAAAGAAGAAGAAAGCTGAAGAGTCATCGGAAGAAGAAGCTGATGCAGAGATGATCGTCGTGCTCATGAAGGACGCGAAGGCTCTGGGAATTATACAAAACGCAGTCTCTGACCAGATCTTTCCTTGGATTGCCAACGCTGATTCAGCCAAAATGGCGTGGAATCTGCTCTACAGTGAGTATCACGGTGGTGACCAGGTCAGGTCAGTAAAACTCCAGATTCTCAGACGAGAATTTGAATACATGAGAATGCGTGAGAATGAACCTCTAACTGCATATCTCACTCGTTTGAATGAATTGATAAATCAAATGAAAATATTTGGAGAAGTGCTATCTAATGAGAGGCTAGTTCAGAAAGTGTTAATCAGCCTTAGTAAAGTGTATGACCCTATCTGCTTGGTGATTGAAAATTCAAAGAGCTTGGAGACTATTGAATTGCAGGAGGTAATTGCAATATTGAAGAGCCAAGAGAAACGTTTTGAGTTGCATAACGTGGACTCAGCTGAGAAGGCATTTGCCTCCTTCTTAGTAAATGCAAAAATTCAGAACAATAACAGTACTCAAACTGGTCCTGCTAAGTCTCAGAAACATTGGCAGTCTAAAAACAAGCCATGGGATTCTAGATCTAAGCCACAACAGGCTGGTGCTCCACAGAGCTCAAATGGGTCAAAATTCTTGCATCAAGAAGGAGTGAAACCTCAATGCAAAGTATGCTATAAGTTCCATTTTCGAGAATGTGGATATAAGGGACAACCTAAGTGCTACAAGTGTGCAAGATTTGGGCATTGGGCTAGGGAGTGCACTGCAAACAAAGGTGTGCAGAAAGCCAATAATGCAAGTCAAATGGAAGTATGAGGAAACTTGTTCTATGCAAATTGTGAAATTTCAGAAAAGAGTGCAAATGAAGAATCGTGGTTGCAGCAACCATATGACTGGGAACAAGAAGCTGCTAATCAATATAAACACAAATGTGACAGGAAAGGTGCAGATGCCAACAGGAGAACTTGTAAGCATAACTGGTATGGGTACTTTAGTACTTAACACAAGCACTGGTACAAAATATATCAGAGAAGTCATGTATTTGCCTGGTTTGAAAGAAAATCTGTTGAGTGTGGGTCAAATGGATGAACATGGTTATCATTTGGTGTTTAGAAGTAGAATGTGCAGTATTTTTGATGATTCTTCACTGGAGAATCTTATCATGAAGGTGTCAATGAGAAAGAATAGATGTTATCCATTGTCATTGTCTTCAAATGACTATGTTGCACTAAGAGCTGGTGTGTCCCACTCTACTTGGATTTGGCACAAAAGAATGGGGCATTTACATTTAAAAGGGCTAAATCAGCTTAGGGAAAATGAGATGGTACATGGTCTACCACATTTGGAAGATGTAAATGGGGTTCGTGAAGGCTGTCAATTTGGGAAACAACATAGAGAGTGGTTTCCAAAGAATCAAGCATGGAGGGCAAGTACTACTCATGAGTTAATACACATAGACTTGTGTGGGCCTATGCAAAACGAGTCTCTTGCAGGTAACAAATACTTCATGCTTCTCATAGATGACTGTACAAGAATGATTTGGGTCTATTTCCTTAGATACAAGTCTGATACACTAAACTGTTTTAGAAAGTTTAAGTCTATGGTAGAGTTGAGTGGTTTTAAAGTGAAATGTGTAAGAAGTGATAAAGGAGGTGAGTTCACATCCAGTGAATTCAATAAGCTGTGTGAAGAAGCAGGCATTCAAAGGCAGTTCTCTATGGCA